CCCACTTTGCGGCCCGCTAGCACCCACTTTGGGGCCCGCTAGCACCCACTTTGCGGCCCACTAGCACCCACTTTGGGGCCCACTAGCACCCACTTTGGGGCCCGCTAGCACCCACTTTGCGGCCCGCTAGCACCCACTTTGGGGCCCACTAGCACCCACTTTGGGGCCCACTAGCACCCACTTTGCGGCCCGCTAGCACCCACTTTGCGGCCCGCTAGCACCCACTTTGCGGCCCGCTAGCAGCCACTTTGCGGCCCACTAGCACCCACTTTCCGGCCCACTAGCACCCACTTTGGGGCCCACTAGCACCCACTTTGGGGCCCGCTAAGTAACACAATTATATTATTTTGTATTATTATTTTCTTATTATATTTCCCCACTGTCCCATTTTCTTATGTCCCGCACAAGATTTGTCATCAAGTATTACGGGCCGCCTTACAACCTGAGTTGTGGAGGTCTTGTTTAGGACAAAGGGGCTGTAACTCTACCTCAATACCTGCTGGCCTGGTTTCAAATCTTTGCAATCCAGAGTACCAGATACTAAAAAGTGTATTTCTTGTTATCTTCCACTCTTCCACCTGCAACAATTATTCCAGCATAATTGGACCAAATAAGACAATGATGTTGGCATCCAACCATTTCTCTTTTTTCTTTGTTTTCTTAAAGGACTATTAGTCTTTCTCCCCTGTGGCTTGTTATTATTCAGTAGATAGTCAGTCATATATGTAAACATCAAGCATTTACTCTTCCTTAACTGATATGTGATGACGTATTGCAGTAAAGTAATAAAGTAAAAAATATAGTGAAGTAATACAGTGAAGTAATACAGTGAAGTAATACAGTGAAGTAATACAGTGAAGTAATACAGTGAAGTAATAAATTTGACGTAATACATTGACAATGGACGATATACAATGACGTGATACAGACTGGTATGTACTAGGCTACTGAGTAATTATTCTAGAGTAAATGCTAGTGCTTTAACTTTTGTAATCTAGACACAATACAATATAGAAACACTTTATTCTAAACCCATTTTTTAAATCTAGACACACATTACGCTAGACACATTTTAATCCAGACACACTTTAATATAGACCAACTTTATTTTAGACACTTTTTAATCTAGACACCTTTAATTCCAGACACATTTTAATCTAGGCATACTTTTATCCAGACACATTTTAATCTAGACACATTTTAATCTAGACACTTGATTGGGTGCTACATAGGCCTCAAGATGGTTTAGTTAGATCTGCTCCAGTCACTCGGGAGCTGTCCTCTGGCCACTTCTGTGTTAGTTGCGAGCTTAATGTAAGGGCCCCCAACCCTCTCCCTCAGTTTAGGGAGGTCCGCGAACCATAAACAGGGATGCCTTTAAGCATGACCTGAGTGTAGAAGTGTCCCCTGCCCTCTGCCCTACATTGGAAACACTAGACCGTGCATTGCGCACTGTGCTTGACCAGCACGCCCCTGTCACCCGCCGCAATTTTAGGTTAACGTGGTCAGCTCCCTGGTATGCGACCATCAAGGAGGAACTACGCAGTGCCAAGAAAGAGCGGCGTAGTGCGGAAAAGAAATGGTTGGGGTCAGATCTTGTGGTTTTTTAAGCAGATCTTCTCCGCTGCCAAGATGCGTGTCACTCAGATTGTTTGTCGTGCTAAGACTTCGTATTTTAGCCAAAAGGTGACTATGGGTAAAACCAGCAGGCAGTTGTTTGATGTTTGTAGCCACCTTAGAGGGAGTAACAAAGGGACTGCTCTTCCTTCAGTGTTTCCTTTGCCCCAGCAACCAGATAAATTTTTCGATTCTCTCTGGCATCTTCCCTCCCATTTTTAAACGGTCGATAATCCTGCCACTCCTAAAGAAACCCTCACTTGATCCAAACACACTCAAGAATTACCGCCCCGTCAGCAACCTCTCCTTTCTCTCAAAAATCATAGAAAACTCATACTCTCTCAGCTCTCTGACTATCTTCACTCTCGCAATCTCTATACTTCCTCTCAGTCCGCCTACCGACTTGGTCATAGCACAGAAACAGCACTGGACCAAGTCATGAGCGACCTCCTGCGCGCGATGAACGATGG